GGTAAAGGGGCGCATTTATGAGGTGACTGACGAATAATAATGTACAACTGAAATTTCACAACGTTATAAACTATTATGACCTCAATAAAATAAAAAATAGCCAAAAAAAAAAGGAAAATTGAGGCAAGTAAATTTGAAGATATAATTGACTTTATGAAATGAGTCATGAATTGAGCAGCATCTCCTCTAGCAAGTAGAAGGCACTCCAAGGGGTTGTACAAAATGGAAGGTTTTTATGGAAAGGAGGGTGGGGCACGGAAGTCATTAGCAAAAGAAAAGAAAGGCTTCTTTTGGGCCAGGACATCTTTTTTGGGGGAGGAAGAGAACTGGCACAGGTTTTATCACGCAGATGACCTCACTAGTGCAATTCAGGAAATTTCTGATGAGCTGTTTAAAGGTCACCTTCCTGGGAGGGGCTGAAACTGTAATTAAGTCTTGGTTTGCAGTCGCAGGGGTCATTTCGCGCCTTTTTTTTTTTAAACACTGGTCATTAAATGTTGCAGGAACTCAGGCTTCAGTCCTGGACCCTCTGCTCTGCATCCCCTTTACCCATGATAAGGTCCATCTCCCTGAATGCTCCACCTCCCACCCAAAACTTCACCCCTAAATCTCTTCACTCATTGCCTGATTAACTCCTATCCATCTTTGGATCTCAGCTTAAACGGTGCTTCCTGATGAAAAAGTCTTTCCTGAACTTTTGTCTTGGTGAAACCTCTTTACTACTTGCATAGCTCGAGTCTGAGTCAGATTGTCTAGGTTCAAATCAAATCTAGGTTCAAGCCATAGGAACTTGAGAAAGTTAAGAAACCTTGAGATGACTCATTTTCCTCATCTATAAATAAGGATGATACTAGTATCTACTGATGGGGTTCAGGGCAGGCCACCCCAAGATGCACCACTCTGGTATGCAGATTATTTTGAGCTGAAGACAGTAAAGGCTCAGAGGACTCGGGAAGAACATTTGACCTTCTCCTAAACTGCCTAAAAGAACTTAACATAGAAGGCCTGTTTCAGGAAGAAGCTAATACCATAAGATAGCTATAGTATAATGTAAAATAGGTGTGATGGAAAGGCACCAACAAGCCCATTTTTGGCCCAGCAAAACTTATTTAACAAACATTTACATTTCCATCTCCAGGTAAATTGTCTTTCTCCTTTCTGAAATCCCAAACCACTCTCCCCAACATCCTCCTCATCTTTAGCTGAAGATGGTATTTAAGGTGGTAGCTTTGGCCACATGGCCGAGTTGCTCAGTATTTCTGAGTTTCTCCCATGTATACATGTTATAAAGCTTTGATTTTCTCCTGTAATTCTGTCTCATGTCAATTTAATTCGTAGCCCAGGCAGAAGGACCCAGAGGGTAGAAGATTTGTCTTCCTCCCCTACACTACCATATCAGGTTGTTTTGAGGCTATTAATAATGAGTTTACACATATAAAATGATAAGAACATGGCACAGTCAAGGCTCACTAAGTTTTAGCTCTCATTGTTATATGTTTCTACAGCACCAAGTGCTTCTCTTTTGCAGGACGTTATCAGAGCTAGAATTTTAATACTTCTTGGTGTGATGTTGATTGTTGACCATCTCCCCTAGTAGATCCTTCAGACAGGGATGAGGAGTGCTTTGCCCACAAGTGAATCCTGTTAAAAGAGAGAAAACAGGCCCAAAATGGAGTCACTTGTGGTAAGCCCACATCACCCAAACGAGACTTAATACTTAGCTTAATTACAGTTTCAACTTCTGCCGGGAGTGGCATCTTATACCAGCCCATCAGGAATCACCTGTCAGCACCAGTGAGGTCACCTGCCTGACAGACCCCTGCCGTCCCCCAAAGGAGGGCAACTTTGCCCCAGACAATCCACTCTTTGCTAATAACTTCCTTGTCTCTCCTCCTTCTGCCTGTAAGTCTTGCATTTTGTACAGCTCCTCAGAGCTCCTTTATATCTGCTAGATGCGATGCTGCCCAACTCATGAATCATTAAAGAAAGTCAGTAAGATCTTTAAAATGTACTCAGTTGTATTCTGTTTTTTAACAATCCCCAACAGCTAGCCTGGGGCTTAGCACATAGGTGCACTGGCTATTCCCCACTTGCCTCCGCAGCTTCACTCTGCACTCCCACCTGGCTCTGTGCCCCAGGAGGCTGAGACCTCTATGGACCATCAATAGGGCCCCCATTCATTTAACTTTTGTTTGGGTTTGGCTGATGGGAGACACTAGCAGGAGATGTAGGGGTGGGCAGAGAATAAGGTTGGGGTATTCATTCCCATGGCTCTCTGCCAGGCCACAAGCTGGTAGTAGTTGTATTTCTTTACTAGAGACTCCCTCTCAGGTAATCCCACTCCTAACTACTGTCCAGTTCAAGGGAATACCTGGTGGTGACAGCCCCCCCACTGTGCCTGGCCCCAGGGTGCTTCACCACCCATTGTTCCCCATGTATCTGTAAATTGTCTCTTCCTTAAACTCTGCTCAATTACTCCAGTTAGCTGCTCTCTTTCCTTCTGGGACACTGATTAATACAAGAGGTTCTCTGTCAACATTTGTTGAATGAATGAATGCCTGTTTTATTGTATGGAGATAATAATCCTCAGTCCAAACCATGGCTAAAGTTGTTATGATGAGTTAGTAAGAAACAGAAAGTGGACATATTTTTTTTTGGAAAAAGATGGAGTTCTGAAGCATGGTTCCCAAATGCAACAGCACATCAGAACCACCTGGGGGGCTTGTTAAACCCACATTGCTGGGCTGCACCTCGATATTTGGATTTGGCAGGCCTGGGGGAAGGGAGGATTGATAACTTCCATTTCTGACAAGTTTCCAGGTGATGTTGATGCTTCCAGGCTGGAGACTACAGTTCGAGAAACACTGCACTAGAGAAATGCCAGAGGTTTTTGTTGCTTACAGACCACAAATCTCATGGTTGCATTAACTAACTTTAAAAACACAAAAGACCAAGTACAATATAATCTACGTTTTATTTCATACTTCTCTGATCATTAAAATCTAAACAGAGGTTTTTGCTAAAAGAAAAAGAAAAAAAAAAAGCAGTGACAAGATTAAATGCTGGGAACAGATGAGGGTTGTGCAACGCCCGTCCTGGGAAGGGGTGCGCACATTTGCAGGACACAGCAGCAGAGTGGCCCATGGAGCTGGACCTAGTGAAGACATCAGTTAAGCCGTGGTTTAGAGTCCTGAGGCTTGGACACACAACAGCTCTCCTTCCTGCCCCACCACAATGCCCGCTGCACGGGCACAAACAGCGCCCCCACATCCCCCAATGTGCACTGGACATTCCTCTTCCTTCAGCATCTTCAGGCCAGAGTGCCCTGTTCTCCAAACACATGCACACCCACTCCCACACCCAGCATGTGGGCACACACTCATGCCCAGGCGCACGCAGTCACACTCACACACTCACAGACAATGCTTGTGATTTCAGGCCTCCGTCACGGGCTCAGGTTCCAGCTGCAGATTCAAGGTGTGTGCGAGCCTCCTCAGCTGAGTGACAAGGGCCCCTGCAGAGCAGGTGTTCATCTTCCTGAGGACTCGGCCAGGGAGAAGCTGCATTCTGTACCCCACTGAACTGGGGCTGCCTGGGCTAATTAGGGAGGTCCTGACAGCGGTTCAGAGACGCCAACCAGCTCTGCCTTGCTCCTCAATAACCAGTTGATAAGAAAGCAGAGTGCCAGGAGGCCAGTTCCTAGGAGGTCCCCCAGCCCTGTGAGGTACGGGATACAGTGGTTGTCTGGATCCAGGGCATGGTGCCACGTCAGCCGAACCATCACTTCTGCCAGGTACAGCAGGATTGTCACCTGTCATAAGAGCAAGCAGACACGAAAGACGATGACCAAGTCAGAAAGCCAAGTGTTGCCAAGAAACTAGCAGAGTTCAAGGGCAGATACCAAAGTGGACGTGACAAACCCCGGCACTCCCCTTCTTCCAGCTTCTCTTGGGGTCTGACGCCTAGCTCTGAGCTCGTGAAGAGGCCAGAGAGTCCGCCCTTATCTATGCTTGCCTCCCTCCCTGTGGTTGGGCCCTGCTCCTGGCATCCTGAAGTGCTAGACAGACCTACTACCACTGTCTGGATCATGCCCTGGGGCTTGAACAAGTTGACTTAACTTCTGGAAGATGGAAACTGTGTCTGCACGTACAGGAGCCCCTACCCCCACTGCTTCATCATCTCACCCAGGCAGGGGACAGAGCTTGCTGGCTGACTGACCACAGAAAGTTGCTTTGCTGCTGCTGCTGCAGTCATCTTTACCTGGATCAGGCCTGCTAGCAGATAGAACACCACAAAGGTCTTGCTGTTTGGGACCGAATGGCCTCCCATCAGGTAGATGACACAGAAGAAAAT